TCTATTATATTATGCTGAAACTTTCTGTGTTGTAGCAAAATAATAATTATATTTTAATAACTTTACAAATACTGACTATTTAATAGTAATCAGTTCAAAAATTGGCTAGCCTCTACTATCCATTTTGAAGTTTTGTATAAAAACGACACGACTCTTTGCAAACCTAAATGCCATATGTCTTCGAGAAAATGAAAAAAATGGTCCCTTATATTTGGGTAGGTTTAAAATAGTCCTTTATGTACACTCTTGAGCAGTTTTATTTTTTAAATTTGAGAAAAGTGAATAGTTTTGGTCTTCATTAAATATTCAACGAACTTTAAGAGTAAAATTTAATAAAAACTATAGGGAGAAATTCGACTAGAAAAACTAAGAAATTTCTGTCAAAATTCAAATAAATGCAAAAAAAAATTCATAAGATATCATAACAACAACAACAACCTAGTGAAATTCCATTAGTAAGGTCTTAGGAGGGTAATTGTACGCAGAGCTTACCTCTGCCCCAAAGAAGAAACAAGATACCATAAATAAACCAAAAAATAACATAAATTACACATCAGAATATGCAACAAATACTAAAATTAGTAGAAATTTCAATTTTGCACCTCTAAAAAGATACAACAACAATCCATTAGAATTCTACATATGAAGGGTCTGGGGACGCCGACTTTATTCTACCCGAGGAAATACAGAAATTATTTTCGATAGATACTCGTCTCAAGAAAATAAAAAAAATCACCTTTAAAAAGATAGTTCTCGGTAAATCTAACTATAAGAATTTCTTAAATATTAATAGATTTCAAACCTATTGACTTTTTGCGAACTTAAAAAATTAAAGATACTCAAAAAAATATTTAAAGGACTATTTTAGACCTACTCACAAACATAAGGGCCATTTGAGTTAAAAACTCGATAAATACAAACGCCATTGCTGACGCGTCAATTTAACAACATTTTCTCTCGTGTTCCTCAATACAATTTATTCACTGAGCCGTGCGCCCTTCACTCACTCTGCAAATTGACTGTTGCTGGAGCTAAACCTCATTTTCCATGGTAACAACAGACTCTCATTTTTTCAAAATTAAATGCATGATTTGGCATTAGTGGGTTCAGAATACTTACTACTATTATTTTGTTGCAGTTTGCACTATAAATTATTGTTAATTTTGTTTCAATTACATACCTGGTTCAAATTGATAGCTGTGGGTGCAGATTGTACCCACGGCTCTCGTACTACTGCCCACTCCTATTTATTTTTCATTTTCATGTAATGTTAATTTCATCTTAACCTGTTTTTTTTTTGGTGCGTGCGCGCATTTATTTTCCGTTAGGGTTGAATTGCTATTAGCTTTCAGTGGCTTGCTATTCTTCGATTCTGCTACAGGGTTACAGTTTGTGTGAATTTGACCAGTTTAACAACTATAAGAAAAAATTTTAATTTTATTTCCCGGAAGTTTCTAGTGATTTTATGAATGTTGGGTGTTTTAGGTGTATTGTTTTAGATATTATCATGTTCTTTTGTTCTCATTAATAGTATTTCTTTTTGTCTTTGTAAAGGTGATGTTGGAGCTAGCTCGTGTATATCTCGACTAATCCAGAGATTACCTATTACCTCCCATCAGCGGAGGTACTGGGTAATTCTGCTCACGAAAGCTTGCACAGATTGCAAGGGTTGGCCTAGTGTCGACTCCCCGGGATTTGTACAACCAAAGGTTATTACTCAAAACTCTTAGACTAGGTCACTGCCTAGGGGGTTATTCTTCTTTAATACTGTGGTTTCAGTTGTGGCAAGTCGACTGTTCTTACTGAGTTTCTAACATTGAAAACAAAATGCCTTGAAGTTGCTTTTTCATGTGTGTGGATGAAATTTTGGATTTAGTTACAAGAAATGCTCTATTGGGTTGCTTTGATGGTTGGTTGCTCTGATGGTAAGCACCCTCCACTTCCAACCAAGAGGTTGTGAGTTCGAGTTACCCTAATAGCAAGGTGGGGAGTTCTTAGAGGGCAGGATGCTGATGGTCTATTGGAAACAACGTCTCTACCCTAGGCCAGGGCAAGGTCTGCGTATACACTACCCTTTCCAGGCCCTATTTGTGGGATTATATTAGGTTGTTGTTGTTCTTGTAGTTACAAGAAATGCTCTATAAAGAATGTATTTTCTTATGATCCTCTATGTTGGTAATGTGTTAGTTTCGGTCTTTCAGAGCATATTGGTATTTATGACTATTCATGACTTAGTTACATCATGCGTAGGCGGATCAGTATTTGATCTTTATGTGTTTGAGTTAGGGATTCTATCACAATGTTCGGTTCAAAATCTATAATTTGTGCTTATCTAGTGAATTTTTGACACAAATATAGGGTCTAAACCAAAGGTAAGGACCATGTAAAATTGGACTATCACACCCTCTATTCTATGTCCACCCCTGAAATTATAGTTGTAGTTTAATCATATATGTATTTTTTAACTCTTTACTCTTCTTAAGGCTACTAATCCAGTTACATGCATACTTATTATCCACTATCAAATCTATCACCCTCCGTCCCACTTTACATGATAGTGTTTAGTTGGCACGAAGTTTAAGAAGGAAACAAAAACTTTTGAAACTTGTGATTTAAAACAAACAATACAATTTTTTGTTGTTATAAATCATCACATTAAGTGTAAAATGAGTATTTTAAAGTTAAATTTTTACTAAATATAGAAATGTGTCGTTCTTTTTGGGACTGATTAAAAAGGAAAGATTTTCACATAAAGTGGGACAGAAGGACTATTATTTACTACCCTATTTGTTTGTCTTCCATCCCTTATTATCTGAACTACCAACTAACACCACCATAATATCACTAAATCTTGAATAATCACAAATACTAATATGCTCTAAAACTAACATATACTCCCTCAATCCCAATTTACGTGATGTACTTTCCTTATTAGTCATTCCCACAAAGAAAGGCTACCTTTCTGCATTTAAAAACAATAATTTTAAACATCTCATTTTACCCGAAACGAGATGATTTAGGCATTTAGCCACACAAAATATCTATGGGTTGGCTTAGACCACAAGTCTGAAAAATCTTTGTGCCTAGTCATACAACATACATTATGGGACGGAGGTTGTAATAAACTTGTTTAGATTTTAGTGTTGTCTGTTTGTGCTTATAACCACTTTCTTAAGAAGGTAAGAGAAGCTTGCAGTATTATTTCCTTGTCTAAGAATCTTCAGCCTTCTTTGTATGCCAACTTCTTGTACTTTTTATTTTTATTTTGCATACGGTCAGTGAGGATTCATATAGCCAACCACAACTTGTTTGGGATTGTGGCATAGTTGTTGTTGTTGAGGAATCTTCAGCCATCTAAGCAATCTTTCTATGTGCACTGGATGATATAAACAGTGATTCCTCGAAAGTTGTAATCATTTCATGTTTGAAATTCTTAACTAGCTGTACTTGTAAATATACATATTTTCTCTCTTGTAGGACTTACTTTGATGCTATATCTTTTACAGGAGTGGCATAAAGCCTTAGATGTCTTGGACTAATTCAGTTCTTAAATACTCTTTTGGTCCTACTTTTGAATTTTCAAAGGCTAGCTGATGGAGAAAACGTCCCATCAGCTTTACGCGATTTTGTTACCGACTTACCTTGGGAAATCATTGTCTGTATGTTTGGATTAGTTATTATATTTGGGTATTCAAAGCCTCAGTTACGTGTGTCTTTGGTGTTACGGCGGTGTAATTCTTGTTGGCTATCTAGTACTTTGTATCTTGTCCCCTTCTCTAGCAGATGATGTCTTGGAAAATGCAGGCTCAATTTCAAGCTGCTATCTTAAATCAGCTTCGATAAGCAATGCCTCCAAACTCTAGGGTCGATTGTGCATTTCGTGCTATGAAAGCTATCGGGATTTCTGGAGACAAGGTGAAGCCAGTGTTGAAGAAACTTTTAAAACTGTATAATAAAAATTGGGACCCTATAGAAGAGGAGAACTATAGGGTCCTTGCAGATGCGATATTTGAAAACGAGGAATCAAAGGTGCTAATTTCCTTCATTTAATACACTTATGTTTTTCTTCCTTTTGAATGAGTACTCCCTCCTAGGGCGGATTTGTAGGAAAAAATATGGACACATGAACCCATGGTCTCTTTGCAAAATTAGATATTTTATATATATACTTTCTAAAATTGGTATATTATTAACTCTTGGCACGCATTCTCCAAGAAGGGTGAATGGTGCACTTGGTTTAAGATTGAGTTAATTACTAAGAGTAATAGGGATCAATTCCCACTTAATACATTTTCTCCTCATTTTTTAGTAGTGCACCCATGTACTAGAAATCTTAGATTTGCCTCTACTCCCTCTGTTTCATTTTATTTTATGTGAGTGTGTTTGACTAGGCATGTAGTTTAAGAAAGAAAGGAAGATTTTTGGGACTTGTAGTGTTAAACATGCCAGGACAATTCTGTGGTTATAGAAGCGTGTGATTAGGAGTAAAATGGGAAGTTTGAAATTAAATTGTTTCCAAATGTAGAAAGAGTATCGTTCTTTTGGAACATAAAAAAAAGAAAAGAGTGCCACGTAAAATGGAATAGAGAGTACTTTGTTTTCAGTTTTCTGCCGTCTCTTTCATGTGAGCTTTTTTTGCTGACATGCTTTCTTTCATTTCAGGAAACAGAAAATAAAAAGTCATCCGAGAATCCCGAAGTATTGAATTACTTTGATGTTCTTACTTTCTGGCTAGTGTCTTCCATAATATGCCATTTTTCTCGAATCTTTCTACTCACCTTTACTTCCTTTTACTTTTTGATTTTGTTCAGCAAGAGGAGCTGGTGCAAGATGAGCCTGAACCACCTCTAAAAAGGCAGCGGTTAAAAAATCAATTAAGTCAACCATATGATTCTCCTGAATCTCATGTGCAAAACCAGCCACTGGGTGTTCTAGTTTCCTCTCAATCCATGGGTGACGAATCACAGGCTGGATCTTGTCCATCACTTGGTAGAAACAAAGGAAAGCAACCTATTTCATCCAATTCTTTAGTACCACAGGGAGGATCTCCTTTATCTCAGCCTTCTAACATAGGCAAGAGCCTTCCAGTTTCTAGGAGAGCTGGATCTATTTCTGGTAATGGAATCCCAGTGTCGCCTACAACGAAATCCAATGCTAACCATGCTTTTATCAAACCTAAGGATGAGCCGATCACTGATGACCTGCCACATCTTGAAGTTCCTCTTTCCGTTATCCGTCCAGGTAGAGGGTATCTCATTTCCGTTTATGGTTCAATCTATTAATTATAGAACAAGTGCTGAAAAGGACTCTCTTATGTGTGCTCTTGACATTGGCAAAGTTTTAAAAATGGAATGAAATATTAGGTGGTTGATAATTTTGACACCTCCCTTAACAACTAGATAGCTTCGCTTTGCAAATTTTGCATTCACAATATTTTAATCCTATTGACTTTAAGGAAGAGTGTTTCAGGATTTATATAGACTTTTAAGGAAGTGCGTTTCAGGATCAACCAGTACAGTCCCACAAGTGGGGTCTGGGGAGGGTAGCTCTACGTCTTGTGTGTGTATCCAAATTGAGCTTTTCCTGATTCTTCCACTAAATTTCAAATTTCTCATTTGCCTATTCAACTTTCAAGAATTGGCTAGATTATCCATTTCCATCTGTTCTTGTCTCCAA